AAGGGTCCATTCTATGGGAAAGCGGTACAACATAATGGACAGCAACATCGCCGAATCCTGGAATAGTGTACTGAAAGAAGCTAGAGACTATCCATTGATATGCATGCTTGAATACATTCGTACAACTCTTATGGATTGGTTCGCTTTCCGTAGAGCCAGGGCTGCACGGTCACAAACCACCTCCGCTCCCAAAGTTCGCAGCTTAGTAGAAGCTAATTTGGAGCTGGCAATGGCCATGTCAGTAAGGCCAATAAGCGAGTTCGAATTTCAAGTTCAAATTACAAGTGGTGAATGTTTCACAGTTAAACTAGTAGACGGGACTTGTACCTGTAATGAATTCCAGAGCCTTAGCATTCCATGTGCCCATGTGATAGCAGCAGCAACAAGCATTGGAATTAGCGTGGATAACTTTGTAGCACCGGCATACTTTGAACACACGCTTCGACTTTCTTATGCCGAGAAGATTTATCCTATTCCATCTGTCGGGGGACCCGATAATGCGTCTGGTACAGTAGGGGATCTAAATCCTCCTTTTGTGCGACGTCCACCGGGCAGGCCTAAGAAGATTCATATCAAATCTAAGGGGGAATTCAAGGTATGATTCTATTCTATTTACTTAACAAGTCTATTCTATTTATCATCATCAGATATTCCTAACACAATGTTTTGTATTTTAATGCAGCGCCCTCGTCAACAGTCTAACATGAGGTGTTCCCGTTGTTGTCGCCCAGGCCACAACAAGGCTTCCTGTAAAAATGCTATATAAGCATTAGCAACAACCATGGGTTTTAATGAAGGTGTTCCAAAGAAGGTTTTTGGAGTGGGCAAAATAATGGTTACCGCATCAAGTATAGATGCGATGATGTATATATGCAGTGGCTGTGTAGTCCAAAGCTATCACAAAATACTCTGGTATATCCTATCATGGTATATACCATAGTATTTTGGATGATACGCTTATCTATCTATCTCTATGCAGTGTTGTAAATAAGGTTGTGATGCCCAAGAACACCATGTTTTGAAGATTGTAATATATTATAAACCCAGAAATGGTTTAATGTTATTTTGATGCCTAAATAGTATTTTGGATTTTAATTATATGTTGACTAAAAGTTTGATTATCAATTCTGAACATAACAAAAACAAATCAGAATTAACCTAAATCTAAATATTATAGAGACTACTAGAACTATATAGCAACTTCTCAAGGAAACATCAAATACTTTTTAACATAGTAGCAAATCATCCAAATAAGTTTGCAATAATTAAACAGTAAACAACATCGAATCCAAAGATTTGATACTAGGAGTACAAGATAAAAAGTAAAGAATTCCACCATTTTACTACATAGAAGTCTACAGAGCAATAGGAGTTGAAGAAAATGCACCATTTTACTACATAGATGTCTACAGAGCAATAGAAGTTGGAGAAAATGCACCAAATGCTTCAATAGCATACTGTTTTGCTGCAATTTGGATCTTTTCATCGTCAAGTTCCCTGTAATAGGTTTGCAGTGATGACACTGATGTTTCATCGTCTGAAATGCTTCAATATCACCTACCATTGCAACATGCTTTGGACTGATGTTTGTCTTTGCACAAGTAGGACAAAGAATGCCATCCACCAGAAGCAACAACGCAAGTCTGAAACGTGTCTCATCATCTTTGTATTTTTTCCCTAATAGCAACTTCTCCAGAATCCATGTTGTTGTAGGCTTAGCAAGATTGCCGAATAGAGATTTCCACAAAGCAGTCTTCAAATGCGCTCCTCTCCTTACAGCTATTCCCCTGCCCCTATCGGGCTTAAATCCAGTCTTCCCACAATTGAGACCAGTTACAAGAGCAAAATCCTCAATGGCATATCTAATTGGCTTACCCGCAAACACCCACCACAACTCATACTTCTTGTTGGTCACCAACTACCTCGAAAGGAGGTAATGCACAAACATTACAGAGAATGTGTGGTTTCCCATCAACATCAAAGAACCAAACTGCGAGTTACACAACCGCTCATTATCAGCATCCGAAAGCGCCTACTTTATGTTCTCAATCCACCGCAGATTAAAGTAGTTATTCACCCTATGCCTTCCAGATGGCTCAAACCCAGTACAGAACATACGTTTAGGCAACGGCTCTTCTTCCATTCTTCACCAACTACAGACCAATAGTTATCGGAATTATAAAACAAAACAACCAGAAATTACTGTTGCAGAGGCGAATGCGTGGAGAAAGGCTTACCGTGTGTTGAATCTAACAGAGATGAAGCACAGTTGCAGAGAACTAAGACTTTATAATTCTGAAATTGGGCTCCACTCCTCCGGCACACCGCGGCTATTCACCTGAGAAAGTCGATAGATTGAGTCAGAAATAGATATGGAGCAATCGACAACAGTTATAGAAATCCCAACCCTCGACTTACTCAGAAACAAACGACAACCGCTAATCTGGCGACGGCAAACTTCAAATTCCGGCGACGGAGATGAATCCCAACCAGAAGGTCGATTCCGGTGAAACCCTAACTCTCTGTTTTCTCTAGCGACGAAGTTGTCGTTTAATTGGCGGGATTAGACATCGACTTGTCTTTTCACTTTTACGGTTCGTGTTTCTCAAGGTTGCGAAAGTAGGCAACTGTTACTTATGCAATGAGGGTAAACTTGTCTATAATACATGAAATACATGTAATATCGACGGTTCATGGTTAGAATGATTATAGAGTGAATTATAATTTTTTTTTTGGTTATAGACTGCAATTCCCCTAAATTCTAACCAACTTTCCAAGAATAAAATATTATTACAATGTCGTGTTTCTCGTTGGAACAACAGAAAGAAAATGAAAATAATATGCAAAATTATAGTTTTGGTGCTATATTGATAAAATTATAGTCAACATTATATAGTAGTTCATTAGGTACTGAATTATTTAGGTTGACGACAAAAAGAATAGAATTATTTAGGTTATATACTCGCTGGGGAATTTTGTATAATTACTTTTTCTAAAGAATATATTCTCAGCGTGTATGTCGTGCAATCACCAACTCATAAGTATCTTCACATTGTGCCCTTAATTAATGAAAAAATTCTATGAAAAAAAACTGGCTGCAATAAATCAATTGTTTACTGAAAACAAATTATAATGATGCTTAAAGGGTGTGTAAAATAATTTATATATTAATATTTTGTATTCAAATTTCATAAAATATTAAAAGAAATAAACATAAAAACATTTATTTTTATAAACAATAATTTATTCTGTTTTAAACATAACTTTAATACGAGAAAAATACGTTTTTGGTTTTATTTTTGCAAATAAATTAGTGTAAATAAACAGTGAATCTAAATTTTTTATATGATTGTCACTATAAATAGAAAAAGCAATGACGACGAGGATGGCGATTAATTTCTTTTTTAAAAGAAAATGAAAAAGTGGATTCTCTAGTTTCACTTTATTTGGTGATATGTGTTCTCGAATAGGTCCAGTTAATAAGATGACAAATACATTGTAAGTGTTTGCATTAGTGCGCAGGTCCAAATTTCTATAACAATGTAGGTATTTTTTTAAATAATTAGGTTGACGACAAAAAAAAGAAAAGTTATTATTCATTCTTTTGAAAAGAATTATTTAATTAGGTTATACGCTGGCTATTTTGTATTTTTTTTTCTAGAAGATTATTCTCAAGGTCGTGTATCTCCTGCTAGGCTGCAATCACAAACTAATTAAATAATTATCTCCGTACTAGCTCGTCTCTCTTTATATTTTTTTGAATATTTTTGAAAGACTGTAAATTTGCTGAATTAGATCGTTTTTTTTTAATTTCCTCAAAATGCCACATTTGTTTTGAATGTTACAAAAAGTAAAAATTCATGTTTCATGAGTAATAGACAAATATTACATTCACTTAAATATTCAACACACAACCATACATACATATGTTTTTTTTTTTTTTTTTTTTTTAAAACTTAATTTCCATTAATAAAAACGAGATTACAAGGCCCAACATACATACATATGTTACGAGTGTACTGACCCTAGATAGAAACTCCCAAACATATATAAAAACTCACGTAGGTAAACACACGTACACATTATGTGTACCATATATAGAAACTCCCTAGGAAGAAAAACAACTGTCAACAAACACTCTCTCTTAAAAATGTAGCTCGAACGAAACAAAAAAAAAAACTTTAGATACGTAGACTTGGAAAATTCACTATCACTTATCGAGGGAATATTTGTTTCGGGGTTTCAAGGGTTTTCAATAGAGAGGAAGCTTGTCGAGCGTCCAGTTTCTAATCGTCTGGTGCAAATAGTATTTATAAACTATAGTTTCGAATTTGGGAGGATTCTCGTCTCCAGTAAGCTCCGGCAAAGGTCCGACGAACAAATCATGCTTAGGCGCAACAAAAACCGGCCACAAAATCCTCAAATTTTCCTTATCCAGTGTTGCTCTATGAAGTACGTTTTTGTACCTCCCGTTGCTCATCCTCTGCAATTAATTGAATCTACAAATCAACCCTAAATACAATTCCAAAACTCAACTAAAATTATATATCTTTTATCCTAGAAAGTAAAGAGGAAATTAGCTAGGAAAAAATAACAATCAACCAGACCATGAGTTGATCGCCAATGATAACAACCACAGCGGAGTTGATATACTCAAGATCCAACCATTGTTCGTCCTTGAAGACTTGAAGTCCAGGAACCTCATTGGGGACTAGAAGTGTGATTGCACCTATATCGGTGTGCACGGCGGCTCCTAAGGCTAATTCCGATTTTGGAGACGGCTGATAGAAATTGACCCTAATCACATACTCTGCCATTTCGCCACCTAAACTTTTCGTCAACGCCACAGGTGGTAACCCTAGTCCCTCTGATAACCAACCAAGAATTTTCTCTGTTAGCTTCTTCATATGCCTTGTATATTCCTCATTCACTTCCCTAAACCGCCATGTCCCAAAACATCAACAAGAATCCAACATTTAAATTTGAGAATTTGATAAAAAATAAATTATAACGTAAAATATGAGTCTATAAAGCACTAACTAATTTTATTAGAAAACGTACCTATATCGAGGAGGATTCTTAGACCAATATTTATAATTAATGCATGAGGGTGGCCAGATTCTATGAAACAGATGTTCGTCCCAAGCCTTTATACCTTCAAGATAGTTCCTCTTGTATCCTTCAAAGTCTTCCTCTTTCGCCACAGCTTCTTTTTCCGCCTCTGGGAGGTCGAAAAACTGTTTCCCAACCACTTGCAGCTGCTGCATCAGCTCAGTGGGAATTCCGTGGTTAACCACCTGAAAAATTCCCCATTCTTCACTCGCTTTCACCACCGCACGCACCACGAGCTCTTCGTCAGAAGCGCTTAGATCAACGACGGGAATGTGAGGTTCCAGGTGTAAGGAGTAATATAGATGAGGGATCTAAGTGTAATTATTTAAGAGTTAAAACCTATTGTACAGACTATATATATGTTGTAATCATTCTCTAATCAATAATAAGCTCTCTTGAATAATATGGTATCAGAGCCCGATCCACACATGTCCAACCCGATCCGACCCAAAGATGGTCCAATCATCGACAAGGCCCAAAATTGATGCCGTCGATCTAAGCCCGAACATTCCGAGATTAATGGCCAAAGAGCCATCATCTCGAGGAGGCGTATTAAGACATAATGTCTCACATCGGAAGTTGGAAGAGATCCTAAGTAATATATAAAGGATATGGGCCACTACTCCACTCATTGCCAATTGGTTTTGAGTTGGAAGCCCATATTCTAATATGGTATCAGAGCCCGATCCACACATATCTATGTGCGAACCCGATCTTTCATTCAAGAATGAAACATGTAGCTCTTGATTATCACTTTGTTCGTGGGAGTATTCAATCTGGTGCACTACGGATCTCACATGTATCAACCCAGGATCAATTGGCGGATGCACTCACAAAGCCCTTACCTAGATCGCGGTTTCAAGAGCTCAATGCCAAGATTGGAGTCAAGGAATTGCCTCCATCTTGAGGGGGAATGTAAGGAGTAATATAGATGAGGGATCTAAGTGTAATTTTTAACATGTATGGGATTCGAAACCATGACCTGTACAACAAAAGACTTCAATCTAACCACTAGACCACAGTAACATTTTAAAAAGCTTCCCCGGAGAGTTGAGCTCGCCAATTGCTTACACAAAGATGGGGGAGAGGAAGAAGATGTATTGTGGTCTCTCTCGTATTCCATTGCTTCACTCTAGCTAGTGGTGGTGTAAGAAGGCAAAGAAGGCTAGAGGGGCTTTAAATAGGGTAAGTTAGTGATGACGTCGTACAACCCAATTATCAGGGATTTTAGTTGGTATTTTATACCATTTTTGTAAATTGGTGGTTCAATTATTGACGTGTTTTTTAAAGAAATCAAATTCGCATAGATATGCAAATCTCCTACCTCGATTATGAATGGAACCATTATTAATTAGGCTGTAACTTTTTTGGAATCATCTACGAAAATAAAGATGACGCAACTAGCTAGTAGCAAACACATGTATAATAATGTTCCAACCTAATAGTTGTTCTATGGCATGAAAAACGTTGTGGGTCCATCGTATATCTTTAAATAAGAAAAAGTTTATACAATATTACAAAAAAACTTACTGCAATCAATTGTTTACATAAAATATGAAGAGTGCATCAACTAGTTTTAAATTCAGTATTTCAAAGAACAGTTTAGGTAGCTGCCTAGTCGGCAACTAGGTGCTAGGTGGCCAACCATAAACCGTGGCGATCGACTATCTCATTACCTATGGAATTATTAACTCATTAGCTATCTTCTCAAACATATCGATGTCACTATTCAAAACATCCTTTGCTTGCTATGGTTTTGGATAGACGACACCTCCTGCAGCTATGGTTTTGGATAGACGACACCTCCGCCTTATCTAACAAGATGGACACATCTTCTTCTTAAACCTAGTTTTGTCTTTAGGTGTAACTTCCATAATTATGTATATTCCATTTAAACCAAAAAAAAAACTCGAAATCACTGTCAAAACATACTGGCACATTAACTATATAAAAATAAAAAGATATTAGCACATTTTCATGGAGACTTACCGTGACATCACAAGTTGAGAAGACTAATGGGCTGGAGTTAAGCCCAATAATAGTTGTTTTTGTAATAATAAAGAGACCATCGGGCCATCCGATTGTGAGTAAGAGAAAGAGTATTGTGTTGTTTAGTCTAAGATAGAGTTGTGCAAGTCTTAATAAGAGTTCCAAGATAAGTAGGGTGGTACTAGCAAGTGGTTGATGTAAGTCTTAGGACCTAAAGTAGGGTCTAAGACATGAGTAGTAGAGAAAAGAGTTGTATAAGTATATGTGAAATAATTATCCAAGTTGTTATCAATATGACAATATAGTCTGAGTCTCAAGTTGGAAAACGTTTTCTTGCTCTTTCTGAACAAGGAAACTGAAACAGGAAAGTGAAAGATAGAGAGAAAACAAACCTCTGAGAGTGAAACAGAAGAAAAGCGAGAACATCAACAACCATGCATACAAAGAAACTCAAAAAAACAAAAAAGAAGATGAAAGAAAAATATCAACAAGCACTTGTCTCTAGATAAAAACGTAACTCGAAAACAGAACGAAAACAAAATAGACTTAAGATACGATCACTTGAACAATTCTTTGTTTTGAGGGGTTTTTTCAGTAGACAGGAAGATCTTCGAGCGCCCAGCCTTTTATCTTCTGGTCAATATAGTCATTATATATCAAAGTCTCAAATTTAGGAGGATTGTCGTCTCCGGTAAGCTCCGGCAAAGGTCCGACGGACATATCAGCCCGTGGCGCAACAAAAACAGGCCAAGATATCCTCAATCTTTCCTGATCCGTCTTCGCTCTGTGAAGCACGTTCTTGAACCTCCCGTTGGTCATCCTCTGCAATTTATTTGAATCCACAAATTAATAAACCCCAAAAACATTTACAAATCTCAACTAAAAAGAAGAAGAAAAAAAAAAGTCAACCATACCATGAGTTGATCGCCGATGATAACAACAACGGCGGAGTTGACATAGTTAAGGTCCAACCATTGTTCATCCTTGAAGGCTTGAAGTCCAGGAACCTCATTGGGGATGAGGAGTGCGATTGCACCCATATCGGTGTGCGCCGCAGCTCCTATGGTTAAATCAGTGTTTTGAGTTGGCGGATAGAAATTGATTCTAAGCACATACTCTGCCGTTTCACCACCTATACTTTTCGTGAACGTCTCACGCGGTAACCCTAATCCCTCCGATAACCAACCAAGAATCTTCTCCGTTAGCCTCCTCATATGCTTTGTGTACTCCTCAGTCACCTCCCTGATACCCCCAAAATTTGGACGAAAATCCAACGTTTAAATTTGATATTTCGTTAAGGGAATGAAAACATGAGTCAGTCCACTTATTGCTGATACGATTTTATTAGGAAACGTACCTGTATTGAGGAGGATTCTTAGGCCAATATTTATAATTGATGATTGAGGGTGGGGAGAGTCTGTGAAACAGATGTTCGTCCCAATTGTTTATACCTCCTAGATAGTTCCTCTTGAATCCTTCGAAGTCTTCCTCTTTCGCCACGGTTTCCTTTTCCGCCTCCGGGAGTTCGAAAAACTGCTTCCCAGCCATTTGCAGCTGCAACATGAGCTCAGTTGGAATCCCATGGTTAACCACCTGAAAAACTCCCCACTCTTCACTCGCCTTCGTCACCTCACGCACCAGGAATCCTTCATCAGTAACGCTTAGATCAACGACGGGAACGTCCGCGCTTCCTCCAAGAGTTGAGCTCGCCAATGGGAGAGATGTATTGTTGTCTCTCTCGCTTTCCATTGCTTCAGTAATCTAATGTCCAAGTTTTGTTGCCGTTAAGTGTGACAAAGAAAAGAAGGCTAGAGGGGGTTTAAATAGGGTAAGTTAGTGATGACGTGCATGGCATAACCCCATTAGCAGGATTATTCCTTGGCGTCGTTACTGCTCGAGGTTATATTAATTTTCATGTATACCATTTTTGTGAATTAGTGGTTTATTTTGTTTTTTAAAGAAATCAAATCTCATCTCCTATCACCTACCTCGATTATGAATGTAACCATCTACGAAAATAAAGAAGCCGCAACTAGTAGCAAACTCAAGTTAATTATTAACAGCCTAATAATTGTTCTATGGACTTTCTCCCCCCAAAAAAGAAAGAAAAAATTTGGTCTATGGCAACGTCGTGGATCCATCGTATATCTTATCTTAAACGTCACATAACATTGGACGACATACATTTAACAAATAAGAAAATACAACAAAGAGCTTTCTGACTTAATTTCTGCTAAAGACAAAACTAGCTAGGTTTAAGAAGAAACTGTGGGGTTGTTATTGATCTTGGTAGGTCAATGCTTCTTATTTATATTTTATGTAACCAAATTGCTTGCAAACAATTAGTTTAATTTGTCATCAGCAAAAGTCAGAATTCTGTTTGTGACTTCCACGATGCAGAATAACAGTTTGTTGTACAGCCTGGTTAGGCTGGTTCAATTTGTGGTTTTCTTATCCACTTATTCATTGTATTTGTAAACAAGCATGTAAACTCTTTTTCTTTCTTCTGAATCTTAATTAATAATAAAGTCATATATAATAATAGAAAAACATTTCGCATTAGTTTGTATTATATATATGAAACCGAGAGAGTAATATTTATATTACCAACTGATGGTAAGTAAACAAAAACAAAATTTGATTTAGAAAAGTATTATATTTCGTAATAATTGAATCACTGCTTAGGTGGTAGGCAAACGTAATATAACTGAATACAAGTTTGAAAACATTATATTATGTATAACTACGTCTATAGTATAATGTGTTTTAACTTTTAATAGTAGTGTTTTCAAACTGTGTGGGGATGAAGTGGTATTAAAAATTAATCAGGTCTATGGTTGATGATGTACATTCGCTACCATCTCATATTATATTAGAACGTGTGTAGGTGGTAAATAGATAAGAAGAAAACAAATTCTATAAAAAGTAAAAAACATCACCAAAAGTGTCTCATTCCAATAGGTGGGTAATAAGCAAATAGATATTATATAGATTTTTCACTGGCAAATCTCCTATTTTTGAGAAATGATGTTAAAAGAAATGATGATCTAATATAATTAACAGATGTTTTTACAAAAACTACAGAGAATCCAATCCATCCATATGAATAGCAACATTCCACATGCTGCATTACAATCTAACTCAACTCTATAAAGTAAATCGCAACGCTTTCTTCTGCGGCCACACAGACTCTAACCCGAGATTGATTATACCGATTTTACCTTATAATCATTAGAGGCGTCTGCTTTTGTTAGGAGGTGCATAACCTGACATTCCCATTCCGGGATCTTTCCTTCTTAGCTGCTGCTGCTGGTGCGATTGAGCCATCCCGCGCTGCTGCTGCAGTGGAACACTCGGGTTCAGCCCCGCCTGCGCCGGAAAATTATAAGCCATCATGCCTTGAGGTTGCATCCTCTGCATGTTATGTGCAACCATTGGTCTTGGCATCGATCTATTGCCCATTCCATGAGCTCCTGCCATGTTCCCTGCTACGTTTCCTGCTGCTACGGCTTGAGGCGGATTGATGCTCGTTGTGCCTTCGAAATCCGTGTTTGTATCGACTGGACGAATTGGGTAATTCACATTCTTCTCCATCGGTTGTGTGGCTACAAATGCGTTCCGTCCTGGGAGAGGATCCACTCGGAAATACTCGTGCTCTAGTGCTTGTGAAGCCGTGATCCGCTTTAGCGGATCGTATTCTAGCATTTTGGATAAGAGATCATACGCAGGACTCTTCTGATTCAGGTGAACCACGTTGTGGAGACCTACGCTGTCGTATTTGTGAGCTTGAATGTGTTGAACATCGCCTTGCCAGTGCGGAAGGTTAACTAGTGTTGGCCATTTATCCATCGTTGGGTGGCCTAAGATCTTGAATATCTTGTCGAGTTGATCTAATTGGAAAGGGTTTTGAGACGATTTCGCTTCTGCTCCTTGAAACAATGGTTTGAGAGTTAGTAATTCCGCAAATATACATCCAACCGCCCACATATCGACGGCACTCGTGTAGTGCTTCGAGCCAAGAAGCAGCTCCGGTGCTCGGTACCATATTGTGACCACAACTCCGTTATCCGATAGCGGTTTCAACGGAGCTTGATATATCCTTGCGAGCCCGAAATCAGCTATTTTCACTATTCCGTGTTCTTCTCCTTCACCCATAACCAAGATATTCGACGGTTTCAAATCTCTGTGTATAATCCAATTACTGTGAAGATAGTTCAATCCGTTGAGAAGCTGCCAGAGTAAAGACTTGACTGTGTATGTGTTTATCGAATGGCCGACTTTGTCTCTGTGGTGCCTGATGATTTCATAGAGATCGTACTCAGCATAATCAAAGGCAAGATACAGAGACATGTCTGCAAAATTGATGTGGACATTCACAAGCTTCACGACGTTCTCATGGGAAATCTCTCTAAGCAACATGATCTCGCGGATAGCAGTTGGGGAGACTCCATCTCCATCTTTTGACTGCTTAAACTTCTTGATGGCAATTGGTCTTTTAGGCGGAGCCTTGGTTTTAGCCAAGAAAACAAGACCATAAGTGCCTTCACCAATCTTACCAACGAGATTGTACTGTTGCAGCCACTCTGGTTTCTCACTACTGCTGTTCGAGCTGTTGGATCTAGTGGAACTCCCATCTCCCATTGCTTTTAGTATTCTCTACCTCAATGTCCTTACCATGTGAATCGGCAAAAGGGTAGAGTCTATCAAAACAAAACCATCTCGGTGCCGTCTCTGTTGTTTCCCTGAAATTTGAACAAAAAACTTTGGAAAATCAGCTAAAGGAAATGAGTGTATCGAACCCTACATGTAATCTATCCACAAAGAGAGCTATAAGCAATTGATAGAAGAACTATTCCATCTATAAAATACTTATGAAACTCAATCAAGTGATCCAAATTACTTACAAGCAAGAAACTTCAAAGAGATCTAGGACTCCTCATATAGATTTACACAAACCAAATTCTAATAGGAACATTTCGAAATTAGCTGATAATACAATTTTTAATTTAACATCCGTCAGAAAACTTCATATGAACAAATTCAGACCCAATAGAATTCATCCACACCCAGAAACGAAAGCACGAGACTTTACTACAAAATATGAAAAAGGGATCAATTCAGCTGAAATTACCAAGCTCCAGAGACCAATAACCAGAGGAAAACCCTAAAAATTCAATACCCAGAACTACGGTACCCTAACCTAATCAAAGACCTAAAAATTCGATACCAATTTCAAATTCCAATAAAAAGCTCGAGACCTATACGATCTGTTTTTTTTT